ATATATATATATATATATATATATATATATATATATATATATATATATATATATATATATATATATATATATATATATCCTTTTGAAACATTTAGTACATGAATAGATACTTGCTATTTTTTTTTTAAAAAAAAAAGCCCAAATCCCACTTAAGAATATAAAAAAAAGGGATTTCCTTTACAAACCCCCAGCCCTTCTTGAAGCCACTCTTCAGAAGTAACTGTGGTTAACAGACTAGAGTGTGTCTTTCTGCTTCAGGTCATTTTTCCGCTTCTTCCAAATGCATTGGTCAGTAAGTCCATCTCAGTCTGATCTTTGCTGCCGTTGTGTTTACCTGTTCCTATGAGATTTTCTGTTAAATCACTGCCATCCAAGGGCACATTATGTGATTAGATACATTCACAAAAAGTTTGTTTCTGTCTCTTCAACTCTACACTTCTTTCTGCAGTCTCCTGATTTTCTCTCTCCCTCTCTCTCTGTGATATGGCCTTTCTCTCTGTTCGCTTCCTGTCATTGTAACCCTTCTGTGGTCCTTCATATGATCATCTTATTAAAGTTCTATGTGTTGATAAGCTTGTTAGTCCCCAAGCTCTGGACCTTTAAGGCAGAATTTTCAAGGACTAAATGAAGAAAAGGGAACAGGCAATGAAAACAGTCTGTTGCCCGTGCCATCCAAGGGGCCCTCTGTCTCCTGGCCATATCTCTTCAGCATCCTGCCCTCCTATTCCTGTTCTCTTCACAGAACCACCTATCTGGAAGTCTGGTTGTTTCTCAAATGCCCCACATTTTATTTTTCTTCCTTGTAGCATTATTCATGTTTCTAACTCTAAGACCTCCCTGCTCTTCTTTAATTATTCATCATCCCTCAAGTCTCAGCTCCAGTGTGACTTCCTTTCTAATCAAGAGAAAAAAAATCACTCAAGATCCAAGGGGGAGCGTTGAATAAGATGACAACTGACTCATACCCAGACTATATAAAGAACTCCTACAAATCACTTCCTCTAAAAGAGGATACACACATGGCCAGCAAGCACAGAAGAAGGTGCTCAGCCTCATTAGTAATCAAGGAAAATCAAATTAAAGCACGACGTGATACCATCATACCCTCCCGCATGGCTAAAATTAGACCGACAGCACCAAGGGTGGATGAAGCAGGGAGCGTCGGGAACATGCTGGTGGAGGCATAAGCTGGTTCCCCTAAACTGATGCCCGCACACTGACCCAGGAGTTCCATGCCTGAGTTTAGACGTGTGGTAGATTGAACAGCATGGTCACAAAGTCCTCCCATCCCAGCATGCACACACCGCCTGCAATACAATATTGCCTCTCCTCCCATCAGGAGGAGGAGTCAGCATATGATTTGCTTTGACCGATAAAGTGTGGTAGAACTCACTTTGTGTGACATTCAAAGCAAGGCCAGGCCTCAGTGACCCCTGCAGCTTTAAGATTTGCTCTCTTGGAACCCAGGTGCTGTGTAAAGAAGTCTGGGGTGTCCTATTAGGAAGGACACGTAACACTACGGCCAACAACCCCAGCGAACATCAGAGCGTGCATGAAGCCATCTCGGACCAGCCAAGCCCCAGATGAATGCAGCTGCATGAGGGAACCCAGACAAGGCCAGTAGAAGTTCCCAGAGGCTGGTCCAAGTTGCAGAAATAGGAGCAAATAAGTGATTATTGTTTCAAGCCACTATTTTGGGATGATTTGTTCACAGCAATAGATAACTGTTAAATATGTGTAGGAAAACATATACAAAAATGGTCCCAGCAGCACAATTCATAAAAAGTAAAAACTAGAAACAACCCATTAATAAGAAAATAGATAAACTATAGTATATTTTGTATTCATACACTAAAATACTACATCATCTTTGCATTTCTCTCTCTCTTTCTCTGTCTCTTTCTCTCTTTCACATATGCACACACACACACCCATACTAAAAGAGAAAAATGGATACTGCCTCCCCTTGGTTCAACTTTCTCAATTGGAGCATTGATCTCATTAATCACCTGGGTCAGCCTCCTCCCCAGAACTCCGAGCCCCTTGAGGCAGGAAATCTGTCTTTTTTCTCCCTCATCCGCTGTGTGATTATTCGAAAGTAAGATAAAGGAAAATATGGAGGAAGGCAGGAAGAGAAAAAGGAAGAGAAGATGGGGAGGAGATGTGGATGGATAATTGGGTTTTCTTCCTATGTTGTATGTGGTGCGAATCCCATAGCTCTGGACTCCCTCAAAGTCAAGGCAGTGAGGGATGGAGGCAGGTAGGGAGGAAAGAAGAAAGGAAAGGTGGGAAGAGGATGGTGTATCAAGGAGACGCTTCTGTCCCTTCACTTGGAATCAGTGGCCACCTCCTCCCCTGAGCTCAAGCTTGTCCCCAGTCAACTCTGCCCCAGCTCCCTCAGAGAGAGCAGATGGAGGCGCAGCGTCCGAGTTGTTCTCTGAGGTCTGTCTGGAATGTCTAGCCCAACTATAGGTATAACATTCTCTGTCCACAGTGAGCTATTTTTCAGGTTGTCTATAACCTTTTTTCTGTTTTTCACTGCGGGCCTCCCAACTGAAATTCCTTGAATGATGAAAATACAAGAGCTATATGCGAAGACAGAACCAGATCCTTGCCTCATTCTTGCAGCCCAGATAAAACGTGCTGCCTTAACATTGACCGTTGGTGCACTACGTTTGTCTTACACTTTTCATGTCAAGAATATTAGGTTTAAAAGATTGCAGTTCACGTGGCTGGTTGACAAAAGCCTTGCAGATTACACCAGGCTCACTTTATGCATCATCCCAGATTTATGTAGCCCTGTCTACTTCCCCCTCTCAGGGGGTCGGCCACTCACCTTACTCCCTTGCCTGAGTGGCCTTAGCAAGGTGTATAGAGTTGGTCTAAGCCTATAGCAAGTGCCTTAGAGTCAGGTCACTGCCACAGCTGTCACTGCTGCAAATGGCCAAGCCCCACACCTGGTTTCAGCTGACCAGGAGAAACTGACTATTGGAGAGACAAGATCGCTCAGCTCAGAAGTGCGGGGGAATTAACCCTTTGTAGAGCAAATATTGACCAGTGGGAAGTGGGAGATAGATGTCAGGTAAAGTCTTTTCCCTTCCTTTTGCTAATAGTCTGTTTTCGGTAGGTTTAAACCATTTTGGTGGGATGCAATGGATCGTACAACTTCCACAAGACTGAGCAATCAGTGCACTTGTCACCAAGCCGTGAATAGCTCGGTCATGTAGCCCCTGTATTTGCTCTTCCCCTCTCCTTGCCTCATGTTTTGTTTCCCCTTATTCCTACTTCCCAGGGTTTTGTAATCCAATACAGTGTTAATATATATGTTTTTGCCCCAGGCTGATATCAGCTGCCTTCCCTGAAGCAGCAAATACCCCTTCAAGAAGACCTCTCTCCCACTTAACAGATTAAGAAGCTGAAGCCAAGAGTGAAGAATTGGCTTGCCCACGGTCATTCAGAGATGAGTGGGTGACTCTTCTGAGATTGTCATAGCTCACAGTGACCCCTTCTCTCTGACATCTATCCCCCCACACAATGTTCAGCTTTGATAGGTGAGTCTGTACTGTTTGACCTGCCCCGCGTGCACAGCTGATTCGATCCTGGGTGGAATTTGAAATTGAGACTGAGAAATAGCAGTTATCTTGGGCTGTTTGTAGGGACTGGAATGTTAGGAACTCTGGAGATAAGGCTGCGTCTGGTGGGTGGCCGTGTGCAGAGGAAGCAGAAAAGCTGATGTGCACAGGGAGGGGAGTGAAGAAAACACACGGAGAAGCTGAGATGAGAGGTGGAAAGAGTCCCCTCCTTCTGCAGAGCTTCAGCTCCCTCTGCGGTCTGTGAACACTCTAGAAGCCATGCTTCTGTTTATGATAGCTTGAATTAAGTTTTATTACTTGTAATAGGGCAAACCGTCAGTGAAACACTGGCATTACTTGCTGACTCATTCACTCACATATTCACCATCAAACACTCCATGTATCTACTCCATGCTAGGCGTTGAGGACAAAGAAACCTAGGGAGTTCAGGATTGGAAGGATGACATTGGAGGCTGGAGGTCACTGAGGAGCCTCTGAGAGATGAAAAGGATCGGGACCGCCAACATGAGGAGGTTATGGAAGAATCAAGCTGGAGAGTTGTTTCAAAGGTGGAAGTGGAAGTCTTAGACATTTGAAGCTGAGAGGAGTCATCTTGTTCAATCTTTCTCAGTTTAGAAGTAGGAAATCTAAAGAGAGAGACTGAGTCTTTAATGTCACTGAATCCAGGCCCTTTCACTCCCATGCCTTCCCAGACCTGTAGTCTGATTCGTGTAGAACAAGACTGCATAGTAATGCGCTGAGGGCTAAGTGTGGTTCACAGTTATGTATTGCTTGACTAAATAGTGCTTTAACTTTTTAAAAAAATTTGAATGTTTTAAGATGGGTTATTCATTGTCCAGTTTGACAAATGCCCTACCATTCTCTGTAGTCTGACAACTGGGCCAGTTCACACATTCAGGTTACTTCCCTGGCCTGTGTAGTTATGTGGGTTTATGACACTATAACAGTAAAAATACAAGGATACAAGTCACGATGCTGCTCTGTTCTTTCCATCACTTCCTAGTTTCTTACCTCTGTAGGTTTGTTAGGAGGCTCAAATGAACTAATGGATGTAGAAGCCCTTTTTATAAACTTTAAAGTATCATGTGCTTGTGTGAACCATTATAAAAAACTGACAGTAATTCCAGTGCAGATAAAATACCTTTTGTTTTATCTCCACTTTCTTGAGTTACATTGGCATTGGATTTCTAGTTAAACTTCCCTTGTTTGGCACAATGGTAAATCATTCATAGGGCGGAGGCATTGCATTTGGTTTCAAAACTTCTCATATTAGACCTAGGGAAAATTATGCAAAAGGGGAGGCGCAACAGATTCCTGCAAACGTCTACAAAGTTTCTCATATCCCTATGTAAGGGACCGGATATATATTTTGTTGTACTTTGTAACCCAGAACAAGTTTCTCAGGCTTACTAATATGCATATTTTATGTTCATCTTGTTTCTGGCTATGCCTTAATCTTGTTTCTTCTCTATTTTCTCGACTACTTCTAATATATATATACAAATCTGGCATCTTGTGGATCTTTATAAATTGCTTTAAATTCTTTGTGGAGCAAAATAGAATATAATCAATGAATATTTATTAGGTTGACTCATATGAAGTTACTGTTTTCATAGATAAAAATGGTCAAAAAACATCAGTTTCACATGGTCCAAGCTGATATTTACAGTGCTTATCTAAATATATTTTAGTGCTGTAATTGCTCCATATTCCAATCTCCTGAGGATGCACCAGTCATGGTGGAAGGATTATAGGATAAGACCTGGATTTTTTTTCTATTTTATTGTTTAGGTAGGGGTGGGTAACTAGGTTTATTTATTTTAATGGAGGTACTGGGGGTTGAACCCAGTGCTAAGCATGCACTCTACCACTGAGTTATACCCTCCCCCCAAGACCTGGATTCTAATCTCAGCTCTGCTACTAGGTAGCTGAGTAATGGGGCAAGCATCGTTTTGCCAAATGAATAGAACTCCAGTTCTGCCTTACAAGATTGTTAAAAGGATCAAATGACAGGCAATATGTGAACACTCTCTACAAAGTCCTATAAAAGTCCTAGGAGTTATTATGTTGAATTAAACTTACCTAGAATCCTACCTCTGAGCCTTGCTCCCCGTCATGCCCAGTGCCACGAGTGTTCATTACCAATCCTTTTTCTCTTCTTCCTCCTCCCTCCTTTCTCACCTCTGCCACCCAACTACAATTCAAAGTTTGCTGAGTCGATCTCTTTGACCACCCTCCCCTCACACTTCTGCAGGGAAGAAGGGTGAAGCATTAAAGGGAAGCATTATTACCCTAATTTTACAGATATGGAGCCTGAAGTTCAGACACCTTAAGTAATTTTGCCCAAGAGCACACTTTGTAAGTGGTACAGCTTTGCTTCAAATTCTGTTCCCCTGATCCCAAGTTCAGAGCACTTTCACAGTGAGAATTCTGCTCAGGCTTATCTCCCAACGACTGCAGCCTGGAGTGGAGTTTAAGAACACAGCTATACCATTTGATGGTTGTATAAACTGGAACAAGTTACTCCGCCTCTGGCTTCAGTTTTCTCATCTGTAAAATGGGGATAATAGCAGAAAAGTTTGTGGTGTACTGTAACAATAACTTATGTACAGCGCTTAGCACAGGGCCCTGGCACTTGGAAAACGCTCAGTAAATGTTAAATTCTGAAGGACTTGGGTACATCTTTCAAAATCCAGAAGGCCACACTATTCAGCTGTAGTATTTGCGGAAGCTTGGGGGATATCTTTATACTCCGCCTCTTCCTCCTGCAGTCACGGGAAGCAGTTAGAAGCAGATCAGAAACCGAGGTCCACGTTTGCCTCTGCGATTCGAGAATCCTTTCTCTGTCTCTGGGGGCGGCACTAGGCAGTCGCCCTCAGCACAGAGCCGCGGTGGCCTGGGGCGAAGGAGCCAGGGTCCCTTGCGCTCACCCGGGCGCCGCGCGCGGCTTTGGTGGGCTCTGTCCGAGGTGCTGAACGCTGCGGGCTCGGGGAGCGCCGGCAGCGTGTGCGAGCGTCCATTGTTGCCAGTGTCTGGGCATCTTCGTGGAGAAGGCCGAGGATAGGGGTTAGGTGAAACCAGGGCGGTAAGTGCTTCCCCCATCATTTCTCTAAAATGCTTAGATTTATACGCTTTACGATTTCTTGCACATTTTCAGAATCCTAACCTCTCACCTCCCTTTCCTGATATGCAAAAATGTGGACTTTTGCTCCCCCTTCAGTCCCCGCAGAAATTCAGACGCCGATCACCTAGCCCCGCTCTGTAACCATTTCCTACAAAAATTCAGCCCCCTACGCATCTCATCCCCACGCGTCAATGCAAAAATAAAAAATCTTAAATTCATCTTCCACTCCCGTCTCCCACAATTTCCTGTGATAAAAGCAGACTCTCTCCTACCAGCCTCCCACTCATGCCTGTGGCTAAACTGCGTGGACTTACTTCTTGGGAGCTGGAGGTCCCACCCAGGTGATCAGTGGAGACCCCTGGGGTGCGCTTACCTGATGGGGACGCTCACCAAGGGAGGCCACCTGGGTCCAGGACTGGGTCATTACTCCAAAAGCAAAGTCAGGGGGTGCCTGACATCCCTGCCTGAGGCTGAGTTGGCTTTCCAGGCTGAACCAGCGCCGGGAGCTGGGGTTACCCGAGGCCTCGCGGGTCCTGTTGAGTGACTTGCCCAGAACTTCTTTAAGATTTATAAATGAAGCGTCTGCGTCAGTTCCTTCGAATCACTCCTTGCTCCGTCAAGTTTCAGTGGGAACAGGGGTTTTTGTTTTGTTTTGTTTTGTTTTGTTTTTTTAAAGAGAAAGAAAGAAGCATGAAAGATAGGAATTGTCCCCAGTCCTGGTTTGCAGATCTCCTGCGCAGCCCCAACCCTCCAGCTCCTTCTTCGGCTCCACCGGCTGACGAGGCACTGCTGCCCGCTGGCGCCTGAGAGCATCCCTCCAGCCCTGGCGCAAGCGGTTGTGTGGGTGTCTGTGCTGGGGAGGAAGGAGAAAGGAGGGGGCAGCGGGGGTGGGGAAGTGCCTACCTGCAGCTGCAGACAGAGGCTCCGGCCACCCAGCCCGCTCATCCCCAGCTTTTAAGGGATTAGACCCACTTAACAACTTTGTTTGAACCTCTTGGAGCCCCAGAGGTGGGTGCAGATGGGGCGCAGCGACCCTTGGGTCAGGAGAAGTGAGAGGACGCTCCCAAAGTCTGACACTGCTCCTAGACCAGGGTAGGGATTTGAACTCCAGTCTCCTTTGCTCTCTCCGCGGCTCTGCCTTCCTCTGGTTTCCGTTATGAAACACCCTCGGATCTCAGAGTGTCTGTCCACAGTATGGGAAGGAGAGGGAGAGAAGAGGGGGCGACTGTGACGGAAAGACTTGAGGGGGATCTGATTATCGCAGACAAACTGTTGGATTCCATTCCAACTCCATCCTTTAGCCCACCTACTACTTGTTCCTAGGACTTCCTGGGGAGCCACTTACCGACAATTTTTGTTTCCTCTATAACAAAAGTAATTCATGGCTTGTATAGGATTCAAAGCACATGGCATTATAAATTAGAAAGCAAATACCCCACCTCTGCCTAGCCTGGCGGAGCTCTTCCACTATTAGTCCGTTCTCCAGAGGTTATCTGCATCTTCAAACCACAAACCCACTGATATATATTATCTAGATATATATACACACATAGTTCTATTTTCCAAAAGAAGTCCTACTTCTTCTTGAGTCAGTTTTAGCCATTTACATTTTCCTAGAAAATTGTCCATCTCATTTACAATTTCACATTCACAGGCACAAAGTTACAACTAGTATTATCTTACAACGTTTGCTCTTCTCTGAAACTATGTCCCTTTTTCATTCTTAATATTGTTTATCTGTATTTTCTCCCTTCCCATGCCCAGTGTTTTTTTTTTTTACTAAATTTGCCAAAGCTTTATCAATTTTATTGATCTTTTAAAAAATACATATCGTTCTGTAATCTGGCTTTATCACTTAGTGTTTCCATAGTATTACCTATGGAAATGTTTTCACATAGCGCTCATTATTTGTGAGCACTGAATAATATTTGAGGGGGGTCTTTCTCTCTAAACAGTTTCACAGTTTGTGTGCACAAATCTGTTAGTCTTATCTTTCCTGGCTTCTAGATTTCCTGTCTTGCTTGGGGAGATGGCAGAATCACAAGAATAGTTGCTTAAATATTCTAGTTAGAACTTTGTAATAGTTGTTGTTAATGGTGCTGTTGTTTAGATCATCAATTCATCTGAAAATTTGTACATAGGATAAGGTAAGGATTTGATAAAGGTGAGAAGCCTTTATCTCAACACCAAATCTGAATAGTCCATCCTCCTCTTACTGATTCAAAGTGCACCCTTAATTATACCACATATATATCCCCCCAACAAACTCTATTTGGTCAATATGTGTTCTTTTATAAAAATTCACTTCCGGATTGGAATTATTTATTTTAGGGCTTTTGGGGGACATCTATATTAAGAAAATTATTTCCTTTTTCCTTTTTAGGGGATGGTGGGGTTCTCGTTCAGACTTGATACCAGGTTATGCTAACTTTCTAGGATGATTTTGAGAACATCCTGGTCTTTCCTACACATTGGTATTTTTAAATTATCAAGGTATCTATCTGCTCACTGATGACATAATAGAATGCATCTGTAAAACAATGTGGGCTTGATGGATTTTAGAAGGCTAGATCTTTCATTATCTTTTGAAAGTTATTGGTAAGTAATGGAGTATTCATTTTCTGATTCTTCTTTTGTCAGTTTATACTGGGTGATTTATATTTGCTTAGAAAGGAAGTGCATCTCATTTACATTTTTAAATTTATCAGCATGAAGTTACAAATAGTACTGCCTTATAATTTTTCATCTCCTATGAATTGTCCTTATATCTCTTGTTTATTCCCAATCTTATTGTGCTTTCCCTCTGTTATTTTTGGTGTTTATATCTAATGTTATTTAGCTGTGGTTAAATTATACGATCTACATGGTTTCCATTTTGTGGCCTATTAAATGACCAACTCAAACAGTGTTTTTCCTCATACTCAATGAAGAGGAAAAAAATGTGCCTTATTTGTTTTTGGATACAAACAACACACATCCACCTGTAGAGTTAATTACCCATTACTACCCTGTATATCTTTATTTTATACTCCAAGGCAGTAAAGCATATTGGTTAAGAGCACAGACTCTGAAGTCAGATTACCTGGATTTAAATCCTAACTCAGCCCACCTACCAGCCATGGGATCTCTAGTGAGCCACTAAACCACTCTGTGCCTCAATTTCCACCTCCATAAAATTGAGTTCATTATAGTATCTACTTCATAGGACTGGGATGGGAGACAGCTGAGTTAACACATGTAAAATGTTAAGTGCAGTGCCTGGTAGGGAGTAAGCACTATGTATGTCTTAACTGTGTTTGTCCACCTGATCTATTAATGTTTAAATTAAATTGCTTAGTCTCCAGGATGCTTGAATTCATTTATTCAGGAAAAATTTATTGAGTCAAGGCTCAGTGATGTGATCTGCATGCCTTTGCATGCTGGAGATTCCACTGTGAACAAGAAAGACTAGCTTTCTCCCTTCATGGAGGAAACTTCTAAAGATCAATATTTGTCAGCTTCTCTTCGTGTGTGTGTGTGTGTGTGTCGTGTGTGTGTGTGTGTGTTGTGTGTGTGTGTGTGTGAATCAGTGCTCTGCTGTTCCATGCCACTCATTTCATACAAGAGAATATGAGGCAAAGGTCTTTTGCAACCTACTCCAAGTCTGCCTTCTGGTGATTTTGCAGCCACTTCCCCAGAGATGCACCTTATATGCTAGACAAATTTGATTAGTAACAACAATAATTATTTTTTAAATAATAATTGCTAATAGTAACAATAAAGATTTTTTAATGCTTACTATTATCCATGCCTTTAGCCAATAGTTGAGCAAGTTGGATTTATTACTTGTTGCAGCAAGGGAGAACACACACCATGGGGAAGCATGGAGCATCTCAGTAAGAAGGTCTTAGAAAGAATGTGTTGTAGGATTTGGGCTTGGTTTGGGAGATTTGGGGAGAATTCGCTACACTCTTAACAGAAGAGAATCATATCCAATGGTGTTCTGACACCACAAAGATCCTTGGTGCTGTGGTTCCCTATGCACTCTGGATTTTTGTTGTTGGTATTTTTTTATTGAGATACAATTGACATATAGCATTATATTCATTTCAGTGTATAACATAATGATTTGACATTTGTATATATTGTGATATAATCACCACAATAAGTCTGGTTAACGTCATCCCACCATACATCATTAAAATTTTCTGTGTATGTGATGAAAAGTTTTAAGATTTACTCTCTTAGCAACTTTCAAATATACAACACAGTATTATTAGCTATCGTCCCCATGCTGTACATGACATCTCCTTGACTTTTGTTTTATAGCTGGGAGTTTGTACTTTTTAACCCCCTTCTCCCATTTCACCTACCCCCAAAGCCCTCCCCACCTCTGGTAACCACCAGTCTGTACTCTTTTTTAAGCCAAGGAAATACAGTGTTTATTTCCCATTCTTGAGCAATTTCCCTGCACAGAATATATTTTTTCAATATATTGTCCATAAGGGAGAGAATGACAGCCTCAGAGGTGAGCACTGAGCTCTTTAGTTAGAGCTGTTAGTGAGGAGCCTTAAGAATTCTTTGATTCATTGTCTCCACACAGATTGGGATGCTCAGTTCTAGACTGGTGAGGTAGTTTCCCAAAATCACATAGCAAATTAGTACCAGGGCTGCCCCAGCTCTCGGGGGACCAACATTGTGGGACTGGATGTGATCCAGACTATTATAAATTTTTAAATAACTTTTACTGGGTTGTTATTACAGTGTGTTACAGGTATAGTCTAGAAAATACAGATTAGATACAGATTCATTCTTCCAGTCCTTTTAGTCCACCTTTTAATTAAAAAAAGGAATTCCTTTCAAGTCTTTTCACTGCACGTTTAAATCAGTTAGAGATGCCTTTTGCTGCAAGTAACAGAAAAGTGCATCTAAACAAAGGGATTTGCTTTCTTCCATAACAAAATGTCTGAAGGTAGGTGGTGGCTAATGATGGTTCGGAAGCTCAAAACTTTCAGAACCAGTGGTGATACTGGTGGCCTTTCCCTTGAGTGTACTGGAAGGCTGCTGACGGCTCCAGCCATAACATCCACTTTCCAGACAGGAAGACTGTGAAGATGTGGAGCCAGTCCCATCTGTCCCTTGTATCAGAAGAGCACACCTTCCCCAGCAGTACAGCTCACGGCCGATTCGCCTTGACTGTTTTTTTTTCTTTTTTTTTTTAACATTTTTTATTGTTTTACAGTGTTGTATCAAATTCCAGTGTAGAGCACAATTTTTCAGTTATGCATGAACATATATATATTCATTGTCACATTTCTTTCTCCGTGGGCTACCGTAAAATCTTGTATATATTTCCCTGTGCTATACAGTATAATCTTGTTTATCTGTTCGCCTTGACTCTTTCTATTAGAAATCAGTCATTTGCAAGAGATGTTGGGGAAACAGA